TTACATCTTCTGATTTCACCCTGATTGATGGTGATCTGGCATTTACAGTCTCTCTCTCCACACCCTTACATCTTCTGATTTCACCCTGATTGATGGTGATCTGGCATTTACAGTCTCTCTCTCCACCTCCTTACATCTTCTGATTTCACCATGTGTTTGTATAGATACACTTGATGCCTCGTAGCTCCCTGGTTTCAGTCGTGGCTTTTTAAGAACAACGGATGGTCACATCTTGGTAGTTTGACTTTATTGGTAACTGGCACCAAGAAGCCTTCTGTCATTTGGATATTATTAAGCTTTTATTACATTGTCTGATTTTATTCTGAAGGCTACATAAAAAGCAAATTAGTTTGAATTAATTTTAATATTAATTGTTTAAACATTTTTCTGTTCCACTTTGAAAAATTGGAACTAGATGTACTTGTAAAGGGATTAGAACTGCTGTTAAATGTTGTTGTTGATGTTTGGTTAAATAATACAAAAATGATAATATTTAAATGGATATTTAAATCTTAAAAAGGTGCAGGGATTTAATACATAGCTGACAGGTGCAGTATTATATGAAATTTAATGTGTACAATGTCTTGAATTTAATATTTTGTGCTTTACAGAGTGATGTCATTCCTTCAATGAAGCATGACATTTTGTACTGACCAAAATTGTTTTTTTCCTAGTTGAAATAGTAGCTGGTCTTTTTCATGTTATAGCACCATGGTGTAAATAAATAATAATTGATTTCTGTAATGTATTCAGAAAGCTGTGTGCTTAATTGTTTTATAAGCACATAAAATATGAATGGGAAAGCCTTGCTCAGTCCCATTCATTTATGGGAACGTAGAAAACTCAATACCTTTCCATTATTCATTAAATGGCAGGTAGAGAATAGTGGCCACTGCATGACGTCCACTTTCTGCAATATTTCAGATTTTGTTCATGTGCTTATAGCTCTTGAAATGTTTCAGAGTTGCCTTCAGGAAGCCTTTCTACGAGGCTGTACAAACGTTTGCATTTGAAATGACTGTTTTGTCCCATTTTCCAAGATTTGATCACCTTTCTTGCCTAAACTTTTTTAAAGACTTTGAATAATGTTTGCATTTTTTTCCAATGTCAGTTTTTTCTACTCTAAATAAAAAAGGTTGTTCTTTGCCAAGCATTTCACTTCCCCTTCCTGATTGTGATTCTGATTTAAATTGCTTTCACATATGACATGCACACAAAATAAAAAGGGAATAAATTATTTAAAGTCCTGTGTATCCGAAGAAAAATACACTGTGAACCATTAGACCGATGCTGTCTCAGTACTCGTAAGAGCCCACAGCCATTCCATATGATAGTTCTATTCCACCACCAGCCAATCAGATTTGCTGCTGGTGAAATGTAACAGAAATACTGAATGGTTGGGACTGCTCAATGGGAGGTTTATGAACCAATCACCAGTGAGGATCCAGGCGTGAGTAAACTACGAAGCTGCCTAGGGCCCAGTCAGCACAAGGGGCCCCAAGCAAAGTCAAATATATGCTATATGCATGGCTGTCTCTAGCTATAGGCTGAATAAGCAGCTGCTTGGGGGCTTTAAATGACCTGTGCTGAGTCTTACTGGGCCTCCCAAGCATAGCTCTGCCTAGTGGCCCTGAAAAGGCAGAGTCCGGTCTGCCTGTAACATTCCCAGATGGACCTGCTGACCTGCTTGTTCATAAGGAAGTAGATTACGGGGTTGATGACGGTGCTGCTCTTAGCCAGAATGGAGGGCACCACACTGGCGATGGGCGGGATGATGCCGGGCCGTCCGAAGGTGGCCGTCAGCGCCACGATGCCGTAAGGCATCCAGCAGAGCAGGTAGCATGCCCCTGCAGCAACCACCATGAAGAGGATGTGGAGCTGTCTGCGCCGGGCTGCTGTCTTCCGGGTCTTTCCGGCCTGGCACAAGATAATGGGAGAACTTTAAGCATTTATATTAAAATATAAGAAATATGACAACTTTTCAGTAATGCAATGTGAGTCTATGGTTAGGGTCTATGGTAAGGATAGGCAAACTATTATGATCAATACTATATATATGTGTGTTTATGTGTATAAATATATATATATATATATATATATATAATTATATATATATATATATATAGAGAGAGAGAGAGAATGGCTAAAATAGCATATAGCATTTATCTATGTGCTGCCTGATTTTGAAAATAAATGTGGCTTCATTTTAATCAGCATGTTGCTCCGGTGTTTACCAAGTATTTTGTAAGGAATCACTGAACTGTGAAATTTCAACTGAAATGATAAGAAATAGCTCAGTCCTCCCATCAATGAGAACAGCTGCCTTTGTTCTGGGACTGTAATATTATGCTATGGCAAGCATGTGGTCTGTAACATAAATATTTAAAAAAAAATTACAAAAATCATAGGTCACACAAAACATTCTGGTAATCCTTATACAATTAACTTTTATTACTATTGTTTGCCAGTTCAAGCACAGAAGAGCAGCTACACATAAAATAGCATAAAATATACACCGATTAGCCATAACATTAAAGCCACTGACAGATGAAGTGAATAACATTGATTAGCTCATTACAGTGGCACATGTTAATGGTGCCATTATATATATATATATATATATATATATATATATATATATATATATATATATATAGAAGTGAACAGTCATTTATTAAAGCTGATGTGATGTTACCAGGAAAAATGGGTGTAAGAATCTGAGCGACTTTGACAAGGGGCAAATTATGATGGCTACACAGTCAGGGCATCTCCAAAACAGTAGGTCTTGTGGGATGTTCGCATTATGCAGTGGTCAGTACCTACCAAACGTGCTGCAAGGAAGGTATGGTAGGAAAATTATAAATCAACCTCTTTGATAACACAGAGAGTCACTTAGAATAAAAGTCTGGACCTCTCAGTTTGCTGAGTAAAGAAAATCTCTTTTATTTCAGCAATTCCAGCAAAGCGCTCCCATCACACTCTGGCACTCAGTACCAAGTACCCCGAGCACACAGAGCAACCAGTTGATAAACCATAACTCCCAATTCCCAATAAGGAGTTCTAAGTTCTGATTGGTCACAAAACACCAACAAACCAAGCTCAGACGTATAACAAACACAACTCTCCTGCTCCATTGGTTCACCTTGGTAGCAAGGTAAAGTCCACCCATCTTGCTCAATTTACCGGAATCTTTCTCAGCTTCTAGACTCTGTTTGAGATATGTATATAGATATTGATTATATGACATTGAATCACTGTTAATATTTGGGTGTTCCATTCATTAATGATTAACACATTGACGTATTGTCACTGAATCATTGCAAATACATGGTTAACTTATGATTAACTTATGATTAGTATAATTAACGATTACTTATACATTTGCACTGCCACGTAACATATTATATATTGTCTACTGCAACTATTTTATAAAACTATAACTCTTTGTGCACCAGTTGGGGCGACTTCGAGTCTCTTCCTGCAGGCAGTTTCTCCCCCCCTTTGCTCTGCTATCTGCCTCTCCAAGGTTCGAGCTTTCTTCAGGGTCTGCGTAACTAACTGCAGGCAGCTATCACAAAGCGAGGTCACACAGTATTCAAAAGAATCTCTTCTTGCCTGAGGCCTGAGACATAACAGACCCACTATGCCTCCCCTCCCGGGCCTACCAATGTCCAATTTTATTTCCACAAAGGCCAACCGGTGAACCAGCGATGGGGTCATGGACACCTAAGGCTCACTGATGCACGTGGGGAGTGAAGGCTAGCCCATCTGATCTGATCCCACAGGAGAGTGACTGTAGTACAAATTTCTGAAAACGTTAATGCTGGCTATGATGGAAAAGTGTTAGAACACACAGCGTATCGCAGCTTCCTGCGTATGGGGCTGTGTAGCCACAGACCGGCCAGAGTGCCCATGCTGACTCCTGTCCACCAGCAAAAGTGCCTACAATGGGCACTTCAAAAATTTCCCAGATCTCAATCTGATCAAGCATCTGTGGGACGTGTTGGACAAACAAGTCCAACCCATGGAGGCCCCACCTCACAACAAACAGGACTTAAAGGATCTGCTGCTACCGTCTTGGTGCCAGATACCACAGGACACCTTCAGAGGTCTTGTGGAGACCATGTCTTGATGAGTTAGAGCAATTTTGGTGGCATGAGGGGGACCTACGCAATAGTAAAGGTGGTTTTAATGTTATGGCTGATCGATCTACTACTCAATACAGAGTGAAAGTTGCGTGACTAATTCCACATAAACCTATTTAAAAGAAACTTTAAAACAATGCTGTCAAACTCACTGAAAGGGCCAAATTAAAATCCAACAAATGAATTTGAGGGCTGACAAAGGTTGTGTTGGAAGTACACTGAACCATTAACCCATAATCGAGGTTTGTACTGAAACTCAAATCTTGTGTACTGTCACAGTTACTCCTGGGCCAAATAAAACGAAATATCAAAATCATTATGCAGACATATGTGCTATACAGTGACTTATAATTGAGAGAGAAGGGTTAGCCATTCCCTGCATCATTTGGGGTTAAGGGTCTTACTCAAAGGCAAATTCAAGTTGCCAACTGCAGGATTTGAACCAGAAATGTTCTGAATACAGGTAGAGTCCTCCCCCCCCCCAACCCATACAATGTCCAGTGCTAATGCAAGAAGGTCTTTGCTCACCTGCCTGATGACATATAGCAACCTACTGTAGCAGTAGACCATGAGCGACACGGGCAGGACCAGACAGAAGATAAACAAGCAGATGATGTAGGAGTGTGAAAGCAGTGTGCGAGCCGTCCAGGTCACGGAGCAGCCCGTCCCGGCTCCCTCCAACCCATAACTACTCCAGCCCAGTAGGGGGGGAACTGTCCAAAGTAGAGAGTACAGCCAGGATCCTCCAACTGCCAGAAGGGGCTTGCGGAAGTGCAGACCCCCCTTCCTGTGCACGGTTAATGTGCTGTAGCGGTCATATGACAGCATGGCCAGAGAGATCAGGGACACGATTCCTGTCAAAAAGAAATAAAGCAGCATAATGAGGTTTCATAATTTCATTCTATTGCTCACTGATTTTATGCTTTACCAGGACTGGACAGCCACATTGCTGACAAAGCACTGTGTCAATTATAGAAGGACACTCTTTCAAAAGTAAAGGGGTGTCTCTCAGATACAGAAAACTAATAGACATTGACTAAATGTGCTAAAGTGCTCCTCTAGCTCAAGCAGAGCACAATGCTAGAAATGCCAAGGTTGTGGGTTTGCATCCCTGGGAACGCACATAAACTGTAACCCTTTCCATTACTCTAGGTTGCTTTGGATAAAAATGTCAACCAAGTGAGACAAGATGGTTCCCTTTGGTTACTGTTGCTCAACATGCAAATACAGCATTGCACTAAGAATGCAAAGGTTGTGGGTTCAAATCCCAGTGAGCACATGTAGATTGTAACCTTTCCTTTACTGTAAATTGCTTTGGAAAAAAACATTAAATAAATGTAAAATACAACATAATTGCATTGTTTTGGCTGTTGTGTTGATGTTAATCACTCCCGGCACGTAGGGGGGGCTGTTAATTGTGTTGATCCTTAGCGGCACATCTTTTTCAACGTGCTACTTCTCTTTGTGTAAAGTTAGTTCAGTGCAACAAAACGGACATATTGTGCAAGGCTGTAAAAGGGTGCATTTAAGTTTATCTGGCAAGCAATTACGTTTTGGGGGCGTCGTCTGTGAGTATGATCTGAACTAAATCTTGTTTGACTGAATTTACTCTTATTTGGATTACGGGGAGGTTATAATAGTAATTAAGTTGCCATTTTGTTTGATTTGCGACGGTCCAGTACTTTGTTTAATCTATAAGAAATGCTTATTGTATCACTGCGACATGTATGTGATTTCCTTATACTTATTGCATTTATTATTGTGTTTTAGTTTTACTCGGCTCCTGATGCACTGTCTAAGCGAACGACTGTCTTTAATATAGACGTTCAGACACGGGAGTGCTAGGCCGAGTTATCTGTCTGCCTAGCCGAAGAAAGCGCAGGAAACCTGAAGTGAGGGCATAATATGCATCGTTGAATAACGACGACGTCAAGTATCTATATGAGGGGTGGGGAACTTAGTCTATGGAGCCAAACACCTGCAGAGTGGAGCTCCACCGGAAATACGTCACATCCACAGGAAACACGTGATCTTTAAGGGCGTAAAGTGGAGCTCCACAGGAGACACGTGATCTTTAAGGGCGTAAAGTGGAGCTCCACAGGAGACACGTGACCCGTTAGGGTTAGGGGTTTGTCCGCCAGAATTATACAACTGAAAATGTGCTGTAACACAGAGCTAAGGTCACGTATTTCCGGTGGAGGTGACGTATTTCCGGTGGAGGTGACGTATTTCTGGTATGGCTCCACTCTACAGGCGTCTGCAGCTAGATGCTTCTCCCATGGAGAGCTGGTGTGGGTGTGGATTTTTGGGATGTCCAATAACAGTAAAACATAGCAAGCTCTTTATACAGTACAATGCCGCATGAACGGTTAGGTAATCACAAATTGGACAACAGCCTCAACAGCAGAAAGTAGGGTGCAATATGTTGAGTAGACCCCATTCAGAACATCCTGTGCATAAAAAAATCACCTCCACACATTCTAAAATGTAAAATTATTAAATGGATAACAATTACAAGATGTGCAAACTCCACACAAACGGAGCCGCGAACCCAGGTCCCAGAGGCGCGAGGCAACAGGGCTAACCGCTGCACCACCATGGTACCCACAGACACACGGTTTGCGGCTACAGAACTAATAGCCTTACTATGCCTTTAAAAGCCATCACTACTTTCACAGACTTGAGAAAGATCAGAAAGCCTGATTTATACAAACCAAGGACCTTTTTCTCATGCAGTTTTAATCCTCAAAGTAATTTCAGCCATTCATTACAGAAATCGCTTTTGAGATATGTATATATATATATATTTCAGAAAGTAAATTATCATGACTAGGATTAGCATAGTGAGCCCTGGAAATGAGTCAGGTTAACAGACACAACCAATGAGAGGCAACCGGAACTCCTCTCGTCTCCAGGACCAAAACCCAGACTGGGACCCAGAGCGGCGGAGAAGGCTTTCATGGCTGAAAAGACAGATCAAACAAAACAACGGGAAAAACAGAGGACCAGTGCTAGAGCACTCCGGAGAGTACAAGGGAAGTGGTTTTTAATGAACCCAGGCTTCGAGAAACACCAAAGTAAAATACACACAGGTCATGGGTTGTGGCTGTGCAGCCGGAAAAAGGTCGGACTTCTTTGAGGAGCAGAGTCGAACAGTTCTGCTCTGCCCTCTGCTGGAGGCATGACATAAATGTTTCCTACTACTGCAGTTGCTTAGCTGATATGTTTAATTTAATCCATCTTTCCAGCTAGATTTTCAGAAACAAGTAGAATTCATATTTAAAGTGGAACTCACATTAAAAGCATTAAGGGCGTAATCCCTCCCCGGACATAAATCCTCTGACTGCACATCCGTGTCTTCAAGCACTGCACCAGATTTTTACATCATATTAAAAAGCCCATGATTGTGCATCTCTATCTACTACAAATGGTACAGATGCTGGTATTTAAAAGTTTAAGGGCATAGTGATAAGCAGAGTATGGTGAGATTTCAGAATGTTATTAGGGTAAAACGCTTTCTGGGATATAATAACCATCTTGTAATGTTCGTAACCAAGCATTCTTCATAGTCACTATAAGAGAGAGTCACGGTGAGCCTGGACCTTATCCCAGGAAAGGGGGCACCCTGAATAGGGTCCCAGTCCATCACAGGGTACACACACACAAAGCCAGAGGCGAGAACCAACCCACAACCTACTAATGTAAGATTATACTGCTAACCACTGAGGGGTCACACCATCATAATGGCAGTTGTCTAAATTTGGGGTTTACAACATTATAATAACCACAGACCAAAAAAAACATGGACTGGTTAAACGTGCAGTGGGAAAGTTATAGTTTACAGCCTGATGGAATACTCTCTGCGGAGAGCTGCCTGTCGGTGGCCCGAGGGTCAGGATACTCTGCTTTAACTGATGCTTACGCAAATTGGATCGGAACTTATTTGGCTTGCATTGTAGATACCACATGGGTTTAACACGTTACAACCATAGCGGATCTATGATAAATAAGAAATAAATGAATGACCTGCCAATGACAGCTGGGGAGGCTTATCCTACTGAGCCACACGCTGCCTTGAACACCAGCAAAGGTTCTGGGGAGGGACCTGTTAACACGCGCCTCCCAACAGCCAGTGAACAGCTATGACCTCTTAGAAGATACGCATAGTTCAACAAACATGTGACCTGGAAAAGGATGGCAGTAAAGACACAGCACAGTATTTAATTACTATAGTCATTAACTTTTGGTGACTTTAATCTCAACTGCAGCCCTAATGTCTAAAGTTCCCAAAGACCGACTAACTGATGCTGCATTCCATTTGCCCTCGGAACTCGGATTCCGAGTCGGATTCCGAGTTTTGAAGCCGGAAGTGACGACATGCGCGCTCCCGTTTCTCGGAGATCCGAGAAATATCTTGGATAACGCAGAAGATCCCGAGTTCAGAATCCAAGATGGCTGCGTCCTTTATCAACAGAAGGGAAAGTTGTAGTTTTATCCTGTTTAAGCACTACTTCTCATTTGTGGCTCATTAAATCGGTCGCACACACTATACCGTCCACCTTATCTGTGGACGTGTTGCTACGGAGTTTTATACGTCAAGCACCGCGCGTAATGTGTTATCAAGTGATATTGCTAACAATGGCTACCAATTAACCAGGCTAGAATTGGAATTCATGATTAGTCGGATTATTTGTCGGATTAACGTAGTTCGGACTAATTGTAAGTGGACGAAGATAAAGGTAATTTAAACTGAGGTACCTTAAATCCGACAAGTTGTCCGGCTAAGCAAAAAATCTTGCTTTTTCATATGGATCCATGGTATTGCTACTTCTGTGGCAAATGGAACGCATCCGACTCGGTTTTCCCGAGTTTTTAGCGGATGTGATGTAATCTCGGAATTCGAAAAAATCGGATCCCGAGGCAAATGGAATGCTCAAATTTCATCTGGGATTCTTCATCTTTCCGACACTGTTTCCAGTATCAGGGCAAAGGTCATTTTTCTATGTAGGATCTCAGTATAGGCCTATGCAAGGTCCATTGTTTGCCCTAGTTTTAAAGCTGTGTCACCATTGAAGGACAGAGAAGATTCAGAGAAGCAATTCTGAAAGCTTTCCCCAAGACAAAAACACCTTCCAACTGGGAAGAGCCGCAAATGCACGAACGGCTACAGAAATGCCAGCCAACAAAAGCGGGACCATTAGCAGAACTGGCCTTACTGTGATGATCACCATTCATCATCCAGCGCTCAGATTCCCCTTGTCTCACATCCTGCAAATGCCTTTCTCGACATACAGGGATTATAACCTGGCCGGTGCAAAACAAACAAACTCCTACACTTTAAAATTAACTCCCATAAGAATAAAATTATAGCATTTTAATGTGCAGCACAAGAAGATGTCACAAAAGCACCTATATTCAAAAGAGTGAAAAAAACTTTGTTCAGGCTATGTATACAAATTAGCAACAGCATCTGTGGAATCATGGGACATGTTTTACCTCACACCGTGAAAAATGCGGGGAGTACAGTACCTAGACTCACTTGGATGTTATGAGAAAATGTTTTAGAAGACTCTTTATATGGCTAAATCTGTAAGCACATGAAACACTTCATCAACAATTTATGCTTCTCGTGGTGCGCAATAGAGACTCAGCAAAGTTTAGTTGTGCAAAAATATGTCGCGTACAGCAAATGGACTTACGCATCCGTCTGGTAAACTCACCAAAACAGGAGTTTATGAAGCCGTACCACATGCACCCGTATCTCCCGACCAGCCACCGTCCACGGAGGCTGGAAGCGAAGCTCAACGGGGTGCCGAATATGCAGACCAGCATGTCGCTGATGCTGATGTTGAGAAGAAGCATATTCACCGGAGTCCTCAGAGTCTTGAACTTGCAGAACAGGATGAGGACGATGAGGTTGTTAAAAAAGCCAAGAACCATGATCAATCCCAAAAACACAGACACCACGGTGTGCCCCCTCCTGGACAAGGCGTTTGCTGGCTTGTCGCTCCATTCTGGCTCAATTGTGGAAGTGGTGTCGCCGCTCGCGTTGGAGCTGCCATTCATACTTAACTGCGAAAACATTATATCTTCTGTCCCGGGTATTGCATCGGGTTATTACCGTATTATTTTGCTCGCAACCTACCTACCCGATAATGTTAGCATTTTCAATCGGCCACATACAGCACCGCAACTTGGCTCTTAGCTAAACAAAGTTTCACGCGCGTTTAAAAATTTAAACAGGCTACATCACAATATTTCTGTAATCAAATCTGGAAACCAAACAAAAAAAAAAATTTAATGGTAAAAATTCAAAAAGTGTAAATGACCGGCATCAATCAATAACAGTAACTGTGTAAAAAAAAAATCTAATTTGCTGATTTTTATTTCTCCTACTGAGGTCCAACGTCTTAATACTAGACCAAAACGATGACTGTACTGTTGAAGTCAGTGCAGCCAGGGCATAACAAATCTGACGGGCGGCCCAAGAATATATGGGGGGTGGGGCAAGCGCGGGGGTCGGGGGTGATGGTGGGGGGGCTCTTGCGGGATGCTGAAGCTTGGGTAAGCGGACAGTCCGTAGACAAGCCCTTGAGAGAGACTGGGCTTATTTGTTATGGGATGAAACCGGAATAGGCTTACACATTTTGCGCAATTGCGTATATCTGAATGCGAACAAAATTATAAAGCAAAAATAATATCAATATTATACGACTTACACAGTAATGTAATTACAGTGATGTAAAATTCTGTTCTGTCAAAGTGGAAAAGTGAACTTCATTTCAATACATTGTATTCATAAGTTACATATGAAATAAAACTCCTTATTAGGTGCTTATGCAATTTCACAATACATAATGATTTTTATCTGTTCCAGTCTTTTTTGACATAAACAATCAGAAACAACCGTGACAGTAAAATATTGTTTAACATCACTGGATGCTCAGCGATCTTCATCACCACAAGAAAATCCCCGAAAATGGCAGCCAGCCCTTAATTAGTACAAGGAGTGTCTCCTGGATATGCTTGTGGTTCCTAACTGCTTTTAAAATAATATGGCAAAATTGCTTTTTATATATAACAAAAATAAAAATTAGTGTTGTTTTTAAACATCCGTCTTCTATCCACTTACCCTGGTCAGGGGCTTAGCAAGGAATTCTGGGCCCCCTGACAAAATATCACCTCAGGCCCCTTTCAGTCTAGGGCCAAGGAAAATATACCTGCCGTCCCAGCAGTGGCCCGGAATGTCTTTGGACCACAGGAGGAAAGTCCCATAACAGGTCAAACAAGCAGCGGCCACAGTCACAGTGGTGGGATCTGAACCCTGGAGGTGAGTGATGACTGGAGCCGACTACGTACTGACTCACCAGGCTGCCCTGTTTGTAAGCAAGAGCAATGTCACAGTTTTTAAAAAGCGATTAGTACTAATAAGTTAAGGTCGTGTAGTGACTAGAGGCGGGTGGTCAATCTTATGCAGAAAGTACCGTTGGGTATGCAGTTGTTCTCTGCAACTCCCTAATTAAATTACTAATTAGAGAACTGATTGGTGAAGAGTCCTCACACCTGGGTTTGAACAGCTGACCTACAGGTTACGCCAAATACCTGCACAAATACCTGATTGGCCTGGACTAGGGGGTAGACTATAATTAAACAGATCTGGAGTGTGTTTCATGATAGCAAAGACCCGTAGCATCTTACGAAGACTCTAAAGATATATCTTACGAAAGGTATTTCTTTTCCTACGTCTGTTCCACAAACAATCAATTAAAAGTGTGTGTGTGCATAGAGTTTGTATGTTCTTGCCGTATCTGGCTCTCTCCTGTAGTCCAATGCCATAATGTCTCTAAATCCTGGGCATATGCCCTTTGACTGTCCCAGTTTACTCTGTTTTTCACATTATGCTGTTCTACCTCCCAACCCCAAAGGACATATTATCCAGTTGGAAGTCAGTTGAGCAAAAGAGGCGCTTCTGGTCTCACAGTTTTTTCCTGCCCATGGTAGAGGACTGTGATAGCCCAGAAGTGCAAAATTAACTAGTAGTCAAACAGAAAATGAATAAAGTAATGCGCGCACGCACACACACACACACACACACATATATATATATATATAGGTGACACACTCAAGTCAGCAACAGTGGATAAACTGGTAACTGGTAACTTCCTGAAATCTCTGACTTTACGTTTCTTTACTATACTCTTCTATGACCATGTTAACAGCAATGGTGTCAAACTTGGCGGGTTTGTGATCACATGGCCAGAAGTGCGAAAGTTCAGAAGCGCAAAAGTGGCCAATAATTCACCTCATGTGACTAGACTACGAACTGAAAGCATCCTATTGCAAGCCCCCTTAATGCATTTGTCATGCAGGATGGCAGAAATCATCTGCATTTAGTGATGCCCTGACCTTGTTGATCCAACTCTAATGAGCTGGCCTCATTTTTGTTGTGCAATTCAATGCATTTTCTTCATTGGTGGAACACCCTGCTCATCCTTTTCACTGAACAAATGCAGAGAAGTTACAGTGACAGCTGTGTGATGGCCAGTGCTGTCGCTCGGCTCTGGGACCACTGGCACAGTGCGCTCTGCCACTTCACACACTACATACTCCCAATAGAATTAAACTTAAAATTAATTTCAGTTAAACAGGAATAAATGCTAATTGAATTGAAGAAATTATTATTTATAAAACTGGTTGTGTTGTATGATTTTTACATACATTTGCCTAAATTAGTATATTTCACTTATTTGACTTTTGATTTGAAAGGGAATAACCACACTACGTGTGCTTAGAAAAATCCAGTTTTTGGCCACAAAAATAGATGAGGTCACCTTCCGGACCATTGAACTCATATAATAGAGTTAATCTGTCTTACAGTTTGATGTAACTAACAGGTGTCAATAGAAAATATAGCATTTTTATGTGCTTAAGTAATTAATAGTTCAGTATTGTTGTTACAGTATGTTTAGGTTTGGTCACAGCAGAATAAACTATCTGTTGTCTTTTTCTGTCTGTTAAAATGTCAAACCTGTTGTAGACTCTGCCCTTCCTAGCCTTCAGTATTTTATGTTTTATACATTTTTTATGGGATATTCCATCAGGGAAAGAGACAATGCCTCTGCTGTCTTTAGACAATTAGTCTATCCTAGTGCTGGAGTCCTAATTAATGGCACAGAGAAATCCCAATACTGTATTATTAATCAGCCCCTCTTTTGGTTGAACCAGCCGCAGTGAATTCTCAGTTGGATGTTGATCAGTTGAATTTCCCTTATATACATGACATTAATGGAATCCTTAACATTTCCACACGTTTCTCAACCTGAAAACATATTGATATATATGGACTGTGACCGATAAGTGTCAACGCGCTGAAAATTTAGAAAACGTTTACAAACTCTTAAAAAAGTCTGCTGGTGAAAGTCACATGAGCTCTCATGTGGCTTACAACCAAGAAGTAGAGCCCCAATATTAACGCACGATAAAATTATATCGATATAAACATTATTGTATCATCCTATATTTTGAAAATGTATCGATATAATGTAAACATTCAATATACGACCCAGGTCAAATGGTTCATCGAGTTTCATTGTCCCCTGGAAACTTTCTTTGTGTTTGTTTTTGCTTATGATGTGTTTTCTGAATTTGTAAGTGATTTCTGAATTTGCTGCACATTGACACTAATCAGCCAATATACATTGCAACTGGCAGACCGAAGCACTGCAGCACGGCAAATGACAAGGAGGCTTTTTGCAGACAAAAATACAACTTCTATTAGAGCCCTTAAAATGACTAACACATACACTTAGCAAGCACTGGGGCTAAATAGAAGAGGGGAAAGAAGAGGAGGTCAGAGGCCGAACTGTAAGGCACACACATGGTGGGAGATTTATACAACGCTAAGGACACGCGAGGATTACATAGGGTGCACATAAGACACGGGCCACACACACCACAATCAATGAGAAGTTATAACACTAATTACAAACAATAACACTACAAGGGGCTATTTACAATGTCCCAGCATGCTCAGTGCATCTCGCTGGTTCTACCATATGTTATATAGCCACATAACATTTTAGTGTATTTTCCATTAAATATATCACTTTAGCAACCTTACTGCTGCTTTGCTGTAGAAAAGCCATTGGCAGTCTTTCGAATGGAGAGTTGTAGCTTGAATCTGCATATACTGAGTGACAGTGAAAACTGTGTACCTGTCACATGCCGCTATTTAACTCTCTACATGCTTGGGCAGTGGGATAAATGCAAAGGAGCACCAAGGACGGGGAGGCCAGTCCACTGAGGAGGAGCACAAAGGACGGGGAGGCCAGTCCATTGAGGAGTAGCACCAAGGAGAGGGAGGTCAGTCCACTGAGGGGGAGCACCAAGGATGGGGAGGCCAGTCCATTGAGGAGGAGCACCAAGGAGAGGGAGGTCAGTCCACTGAGGGGGAGCACCAAGGATGGGGAGGAACCAGTCCACTGAGGAGGAGCACCACGGATGGGGAGGCCAGTCCATTGAGGAGGAACCTGGAAACCTGTGAACATTAATCAGAGTAGCACAGAAAACCACTGACTCTGATGATGAGACTTAGTATAATGTGTTGTTTTTGGTAACACTTGGAGGAACAAATACTTAGTAATTCAGTTACTACTGCAGTACAAATCATGAACAAATACAGTCTACTTAATATGTCATGATTCATTAACGATGAACAAACATGAGATCAGTATTTCACTTGTGGTATTCATTCATACGTGTTCCTTCAGTAGTTCCTTAGTAGTTCCTTCAGTAGTTCACAAAGGTTTACAGAATTAGAGTAACAAATATTGTTTGTGATAAATGATGTCACATTAATTCATTAACGGTGAACAAACATGACATCATTTTGTATCTAACTCTTAGTTTGTGGTTAATTAATGCATAAGTAATGGCAAAATACTACACTATTTGTGTCCCAGAGTAAAGTGTTACCTTTTTTATATAGAACCACATTACAACCACACCTTGTTAAGTTTACAACTGTATTTTACAACACATAATTTTCTGACCAATGTGGGCATTTACGACCAAATTTAGTTTGCCTCACAGCAACACACTCCAGGTCGAGAGAGATCTTTGAAGCAGAATGAACAAAACGTCCACTTTATGCAGATTAATGATATTGTGTATGGAAGTCTGAAATAAAGTTGTACACACAGTCATGGTCACGCCTAAGCTATCGTGATTTTCACTTAGCGAGCGTTTCACCTGGTCCCTGGAACGGAACTCACACATTAATCGAGTGGGTATGAAGAGCGGATCACAGAAGTGTTTACTGCGTTAAACCAATGAACTGATTCATCTTCTAAACACTTATCCTGAACAAAGTCTTTGGCGTGGGCAAGGGATTTGAAGACTATCCCAGGCAGTCCTGGATAGTAGTGCATTGCA